ACAGATACAGATACAGATACAGATACAGATACAGATACAGATACAGATACACTTCTTATTACGACTCAATTATTAATAATAAAATACCATTTTATTTAAAGTCTCTTGAATCGGTCCAAAAATACCAAATTTACGCCTCTTTCAGTTTTTTCATCATTGATTGAGCACTTTCAGGACACTTTAATCCACTTTCGAGAACATACTTCCGTCAAGCATTGTCGGTTGCAGAATTTCAATTTTTTTTATTTTTTTATTATTTATTTTTGTATTTCCCCCGCCTGCCACTTATTAGCCAATGGAATTTATGTCCTTCGTTTGCAGGATGACGGCGGGATTTTTTATTGGGTCATCGCTAACTGATTGTCGTTATTCAATTAAAACCACAGACGGACTTTTCAATCGAGCAAATCAAGTACACTGAGCACAATGCCCATAAATTTGACTCTATTCATGGCTGTTGGGCAGAAACCGCGCAATTTCTACGTACTTTATTTATGCGTGAAGGGGCGTGATTTATGTGCGAGTGTTTGTAGACCGCAGAACAAACCTTCAGTCGACAGCTTTCAAGTGCCTATTGTCTATACTTGTCGTTGTTCCTACATTTATAGTATATCTGTATGTCAGTCAGTCAGCCGACTCACTCAGACACGAGCAGACAGAAGAGACAAACGGCGGGACGGTAGCTGATGGAGCTGCGCCTATGAGAGCGCCTAAAAACTTTTGAGCTTAGGGATTTCACAGTCTCTCTCTATATCACCCTCTCTCCCCATCGTCTTCCTTTCTTTTTTTTTTTTTCTTTATTTGGCAACAGCAGAAATCTTTGCCGAGGGCTTGGCTGACAGTCGGAGAGAACTCGAGACGGCTGAGTCGGGGCGACATATTTTGTGCTAAATCTTTTTGTTCACACTAACGCGTCGCTGACAGTTGCTCGTTCCCATTTTATATTTTCTTCTACTTTGTCTTCTTTTTTTGGTCTTTTTGTCTGTCTGCTTGAGGCCAGAATTTTTCGGGGTAAAACTCGCGACAACGTGTCGGCTTGCATATATGTATGTATGGTTTTCGTCTATATGTGCGTGTGTATTCTCACTGATTTGCGTCTCTGTCTGTCAGTGCGTCCGTCAATCTGTCAGTCAATTTTGTGAGTGGTGTGAAATATCTCGCCAAATGACCAAAGCAAACACCCGCCTCAAGGCAATCGCATCGATGATTTCATGGTCAAACTTCTGTGTAAGCTGTTTCATTCATGTTTTTGTTGCCCATTTCGAAAGTCTGGCAACGCCAGTGCACGCGCTCATCGCGCCTCGCTTGTGGTTTGTGTCTTGTCTACAAAACTGGTTTCAGTTTCCAGATGCTGATGCTGCTGCTGCTGCCGTTTCAGAGACTGTGACGTTTCTCTGGGCCAACGTCTGGTTAAGTCATACACACACACGCACATACACACACGCTTTGTGTGTTAATTTGGCAGTTTTTCAAGTGCTGACATTGACCCACTTATCGTTTGTCGACGTCGCGTCGTCGTCTTCATTTTCAACTCATTTAGCGCTTGGTAACTCCGAATCCATAGCGATTCGAGTGTTAAATGCGGTCAATAGCATTTTACAGCAAACTCACAGACACACACACACATACACTTAATCTACTCTCTCAGTGCATTTTAAGTTTTCAGTTGGATAACTCTCAGCACATGTGAGCCCTAAGACCCAAGAGTCTTCCCTATTTGGCTTTTGATTGAGTCAACTATTTAAATATTAATCGCCAAATAGAGCGCGAGCTTTAATCAGCTTGTTCAGCTGATTGAAACGCCTCACACAAATTGTGTTTTTTTTTTTTTTTTTTTTTACCTGTTGACACAATTTCATAATTCTAAACAGGTTTTAGTTTTATTGAAAGTAAAATTTATACGAGTGCGTTCAGATACGTATCTAAAAACTAAAGCTGATGAAGTCCATTTGTCTTGCTATACGTTTCGTAAATATATATTTGAATATGCATAGTTTTAGTATTAATACTATGTGCTTCTGTGTTAATTAGGCTAATCCCAATCAAATGCTTTATAAAACTCTGTCGAGTAACTAAAACTCTGACACTCGAACACATATATCTGGAGCCCAATGCTTGTAATATGTGAAATATTCATACATCTTGAGACAAGTATATAAAACGGTTGACTACTTTTCACACATCTGTATTATGTAAATTTAAGAATTTTCGTCATGGCTGGAGAGCGCACTTAAAGCGAGTTCTTGAAACAGCGAGCACTACTTACATGGAGCCCTTGGGCACTGTCATATTCAGGCCATCCAGCACAATATTTGGATTCTTGCCACCGCCATACATCTTATGGGCGCGCCTCACGCAGACGGCCTGCTGGCGGCGTGTCGCCAGCGTCGAGGGCTGTGAGATGAAGAGGCGACGGCGGGCGGCTAAATCGAGATCGCTGTTCGCCGTGGTTGCAGCTGCAGCTGGCGCCGTCGGAGGCACTCCATCGGCTTCGGCGTCCATATTTTATGCGCTGCTGTTGTCGTTGGCTGCAAATGTCGATACAGAAGCAAATCTATGTGAATATTGACGCACAGTTAGAAAATTGAAATAAAAACAATCACGAAAACTAAATTGGCGAACCTTATACACAGCAACGCTGTGCATTGACAAGGAAAGTGAATCGATAAGCACCACGCACATATATATGTATATATACATATGTATTTTTTATTTTTTTTTTATTTCTGTGTATGTAGCCAGAGCTATGGCCTGACATGACCCACGCAGCAGCTCGCGTAAATGAAGCCAACTCCCGAGCCCTTGGCTGCTGTCAATACACGTCTAACCCGGGCAAGCTCTAACCATTTGCCGCTCTTGTCACTGTTCTAGTATTTGTTGTTCTCTTTTTAGTGGCTATTTTTGCCAGTGCTACTGCTACTGATGCTGTTGCTGTTGCTGCTGCTGCTGCAGTTGTTTCACAGTTGATTAAACCAATTTTTGTATATGGCCAAGCTTGGGCAGTGCCGTGCAGTTAGCCCGTGATGGATATTGCTGCCATGTAGTGGCAGCTCAAAGTTGTTTTGGCCATTGCCAATTTTCTAACAGCCAGCGAAATGAAATTTTCAAAATGGCTGCAACCCGCTCGCTGACCTCCTGGCGGGCGAACAGCTATTTTGGCGCAAGTGCTCGAGCATTTGCCTTTTCCTATTCGTATTTGTATTCGCTTTCATTTTAATTTTCATTCTCATTCCCATTCCCGTTCCCATTCCCATTCCCATTCTCATTCTCGTTTCAAGTTGACATTTTGCTAATCGAAAATGCAGCAAACAATTTGCGAATTGCCGCTAAAGTTTCGCAATTATTTTGGCCAAACCTCAGGCAAAAATACAAAAACAAAAGAAGAGCCCACACAGCAAACGGAAAAAACCCCAATAAAACACAAAACAAAAAAGCAAAAAATATCCTAAGCTCCGTCTCATTTATTGATTTATTTCGCACTAACAATGGGCTGGCCAAATAAATAAAAATCAGCATAACAACAGCAAATAACTAACCAAAAGTAAACAACAACTGACGCCTTGTGGTTCGAGGCTGGGCTCGGTTTTGCTTTTGGTTAGCGTGGCTTTTTTCGGGACTCCCCCCCTCCCCGCCCGGTCTAGCACTCCGCCATGGGCCCCGACCCGCAGCCGTACCCCGGGCCGGCAGCAAGAAATAAACTTTCTTGATAAATGACTTCAATGTAATTAATTTCTGCTCAGCTCGCTTGCAGTGCTGGCAAAATTGTAAGCAGAAGTGTTGGGTGGGTTGCTGGTGGTGCGGCTTGGTGCGGCTCGCCTGGGCTTGTGCTGCTGCGGGGCAAGCTCATGAGCAATGGCCTGACCAAATGCTGTCACTGCAAATGTTCAACTAGGAGTCCTCCAGCCGCCCCTCCCCTCTGTCTAGCTCTAGTGCCAGTCTGTGGTAATACAAGTCAGAAGCTGCCCCGCAGCATTTCAATTAAGAAATATTGTTTAAACATGTAAGTAGTTGCCAGCTCCACACACGATAAGCCGAAGAGCCACCCCGACTATTGTATTCAAAGTATTGTTGCGAAATAATTACATTATTACGATTAAAGGCCAGCTTGCTCAGCTTGAGCTAAGTGAGCTATTAAAAGTCTAGAGCTAAACGAATGCATGAGTTGATTTCCGTATTGTCCTAAGACAATTGAATATAAATTGTTAAATGTATATGATGTGATGAAGAGATAAACAAATAATGATATCAACTCATTTCTTAGCTGTACATTGGCTCACCAAAAACCTTATTATACATACGCCCTGTGCTTCACTACAGCAATAGTTGGCGCTATAATTTCTCCGTTTGCTTCATAAGCCACAGCTCAACAAGCAGAGTCGTAATCTCATTTTTTTTTTCCATTGGCGGTGCAGACAAAGCAGTTGATAATCAAATATATAATGATATATGATAAATTAGTTTTCTCTGAAATTCACACCACATTCTGGTTAGTCGCAGAGTGTTTGATTGAGCTCGTACTTTCCATAATAACCGCTGACCTTTGCCTCCTCTCGATCGTGTTAGGGCCACCAATTAAAACTTTGTTTATCTTTATCATCTTCCAGACGGTCGCAGGAGCTCACAGGCTGATTGGTTCTAGCTGGGCACCACAGAAACCACAAATTTAATCAAACAACTCTGCAACTTAGTCCTGGCTGGAGCAACTACCTTGACCAAGCACAAATACAAAGCAAACAAGACACGTAGCAAATCTTTGAGTGGCTGCAAATTGCGAAAACAACAAAAATTCTGGTATGCAATATTTTTACCAAAAAGTAAATTGCCCACAACCAGAAACAAGAGTTTGGGAATGTGCTGGCAAACTAGGAATGTATTCAAAGAGAGGAAAGTATCTTTTATTGTAATAAAGCAGGGAACGGCACGTGAACAAACTGAAAGCAAGCAGACAGGCAGATCGGCAGGCCGGGGGAATGATGGGCAGTTGCCTTTGTTTGGGTCACGGAGAATCTTTTAAAGTTTTCACGTGCCTCTACCTAACAGTATCTATATCGGCTGCACAGATTTGTGTCTGCTCTCTATAATCTTTGTGGCTGGAATGCCGTACCTTTGGCTGCAGGAACAGGTGCCAACTTGGCAGGCAAGCGAAACGGAAATAAATAAAATCGCACACAAGGCTCGAGAGCGGGGCACTGGAGTGTGGGGCGCGGCAGCTGTGCACATGCATGAAAGGTAAAATATGCTTATAAATAACATACAAATACAGTCACACACATACATACTCACACTCACTCTCACACAGAAAGTTTGAAGTTCAGGTAACATAAAGAACTGCAAATTGTTGCGTGCTGCGATTGTATCTATCGAATGTGAGCATACAAAGGTATTTCCTGACAACAAATATAAACGCCGCAATAAAACGAAATACAGCAGCAGCAGCAACAACAAAAACCACAGCAAACCTGACGCGACAAAGAGAGTTCACAAGTTTTTCGAAGGCGAGGGGGACAAATAAAAAAAGTTGTAAAATGAAATGATTATCTGGTGCCTGCCGCCTGTCTAGCCGTACAAACACACGAATTTAGGCGCCTACGCACACACCTACGCATCTATCTCCTCAGGGATATCTATGACAAAAGTTCTGCTTCGGTTTTGTTTCTTTTCTTTCTTTCTCTTTGTTCTTTGTGTGTTCCAGGTAAATAAGTCTATAAAAGCCGAAACTCGTCTGCGGCATTGTTTATTGCAAATGCGAGTCACATATTTGTACAGCATTTGGTTTACTGCATTTATATGATGTGCCATATATTTATAGGAAATATTATGTAATATGTATGCGCCATGATCTGTGCGTTTATGGTGTCAACAGTAAATGTTTATCGTGCGCATAAACTTTGGGCCCCATCGAGATGTTAATCACGAGCAATCGCGGCAGAGTTCAGATCGAGGCTGCGATTCAAGGCTCAAATGAAATCAAGAAACAGTATAATAAAATAATATTATTTATAACTCTTGATACTTCGAGAGAGCTGAGCTTATCAGCTGTCAGCCAATTATCAAGTCAATCATAGTTGCTTTTATATAGAAATATATATTATTCCATTTTAATACGCCTCTAGGCCTCTAGTCTCACCCTAGTTGAGCAATGCTACGGCTTTACAGGGCTTATAGCTTGTCTGACCGCTGGTTTCATTTGCAATTGTCTTCCTGTAGGCAGGCGCCATTGGGTGCTTGCTGGAATGCAGCATTTGATTGCTATGGCAACTTGGCTAAGTCGCCGTAAATGCTCGACAATCTTGACCATAACTGCGCACAGTTTACGGCAACTATCAAATGGGTCAATGCCTCTATGTGGCGCGCACTTCTCGACTCGGTTCATTTACATAAAAAAACATTACGAAAGCAAAGAACTGAGGCAGCCCAGCAGATACAGCCAAACAAAAGTCACTTTTCGGCAAGTAATAAATATTTATATTTATTTTTGCACATACACAAAGCTATTGTAAGTTGTCGGTCCCTCTCTCCCTCTCTCTCTCTCCCACTTTCTCTCTCCATCTCTCTGATTGCACTCGCAACAAAATTTGCACAAAATTTTACGCACAATAAATTCAACAGCAAAGATCTGACGCCCAATGGCAAATGGAAAAAGAAAAGAAGGAAGAAACCGTTCATGTGTTAGTAATAGGCTAGTTCGAGAAGCTCTTACAAACATGGACAAATACACTCATTTGCACACACAAAAGAATTTACATAACAGCTAGTTTAAGGCAGGCATTCAGCAAAATATGTTTATCTGTTGCAAAGGTCATGGCTTTTCCTCAAAAATTACACAGAACAACAGTGTCAGTCTCTCGATTTCATATGTTCTTCTTTAATAATTTCTTTTTTTTTTTTTTTTGTTTTCGAAAAACACAAAACCAAAACAACATAAACTCATGAATAGGTAACACAATTTTCAGACCAGAAAGCATTCTACGTATGTAGCTCATCACTCGCTCAAATAAACACACACACACACACACACACACACACACACACACACACACACACAGAC